ATTTTAAATCCATTTTTTTTTTCGAAAATGTTTTGTCTGATGAGTTAAATGCGAAGTATCGGTTTTAATGAATTAAAATAATGCCAGGAACTTTTAAAGTCTCCGCTTTCATAATTATTATTTGCTCTGTTATTACATTGAGCTCTCTGCATCTATATCTTTGGAATTATCCATACGTATTACCAAATAATATCATTTATATATATATATATATATATATATATATATATATATATATATATATATATATATATATATATGCACATTTCCCGCATGAAAGAAAGATTGCTGCTTAAATATATATATATATATATATATATATATATATATATATATATATATTTAGGACAGTAAGTAGGTACCTAAATGAATATCTGAATATATATATATATATATGTGTGTGTGTGTGTGTGTGTGTGTGTGTGTGTGTGTGTGTGTGTGTGTGTGTGTGTGTTTTATGTGTTTATTTTATCTCTTTATCTGTTTACCTACCCACGCAAGAAAGAATGATTGCTGCCTAAATACACAAATGAAAGAATGATTGCTGCCTAAATACGCAAATACACACACACACACACACACACACACACACATATATATATATATATATATATATATATATATTCAGTTGTATGGATATTAGCTTGTAAGCCTGGGTTTCACGCTTTTTCGATCATCAGACAAACTGGTTTATTTTTAAAAAGTAAGTGGATCTATTTATGCTTATTTGTGTTTGATTATTGGTGTGTGGTGGAGGGGGGAATTTTCTTCTGTTTTAGTTTGGGATGACTCTCTCACATACATACACAAACATGCATGAGGTCCACAGTAGTGAAGTGCGAGAAAAGGAACTGTTGGAGTAGACTCCAACAATTTATTTTCTCGCACTTCCCTACTGTGGACCCCCCTTTCTTCTTACTTGCTTTCTTGGTAACTATGACCTTCAAAAATTTAAACGCAGTGTCAACCGTCATCTTTTGTTGAATTAATCCTGTTCATCTTTTATCCTTTCCTATACCCACTTTTTTTCACTTACTTTCACTTTTTGTAACCCCCCTGCGTGCTAGTGGCACTCCTGCCTTGTTTGAAGAAAAACGCTTGAAAAAAAAAAAACATGGCAGACACAAAAGGAAAACTAAAAGAAAGTAGTAAATGAAAGCCGGATGAAAAGCCTAATTATCAACTGTAAGAAAATTTTCACTTTGCCAACAAGAGGGAAAATTCCAAATGCGATATATGAAATGGGGAGGTCAACATCCAGTACAGATGTTTAAATACCTGGGGTGGGTTTTACCAGATGATGGAAAAAGCGACACTGAAATCCTAACGCACGTTAGTATAGCAAAAGCTGCCTTTAAGAAGCAAAACAAAGGACTAAGAAACAAGAAAATTTCCTAACAAAAGAGTACTGAACTGTTATGTTATATCAGACCTCCTCCATGGCAGTGAATACAGAAAAGTCGCCTCATAGATGGAGAGAAAACTGGAGACAACAGATATGTGGTTCCACAGAAGGATACTGAGTACATCATGGATAGTGTATGTATGCGACGAACAAGTCACAAGGAAAATTGAAGCAAAAAGTACACTTATACTCAGGTCATAAAGAGAGAACTTAAATTCTTTGAAGACATAATGAGGAAGGAAGATTTCGAGAATTTGACACTCACAGGGCATTATGCAGAATCGACAGAAGAGAAACGTACCCTATGAACTTGTATAGATTGATGGTGGAACGTGGAGTAGACAAAACTTAATAAGAGGGAACAGAAGAACCAATTGTTAAATTATTTTTTTTTTAAATAAAATATCAAAATGAACTAAAGAATCACCAAAATAATTTAGGGCAATAAGTACGTACCTTTATGAATATCTCAATATATATATATATATATATATACATATATATATATGTATGTATGTATGTTTGTGTGTGTTATTTTATTCTTTATCTGTTTATCTACCCACGCCTTATTTTACTCCTTAGGCACCCTGCCAGTTCTATGACCCTCCCCCCTTGCCTAATTAGTTTTTCATTTGTGATTTCTTGAGATCCTCCGGTCGTGTGCGTTTTGTTCAGGCGGCGTGACGTCGAGATGTCTCACGTCGTGAAATTAAACCATTAAACGCGAAGGAACTGGACAGGTCTCTAAGAGTGGGCCACTTTAAGAAGGTGTTCCTGAAAAGGGTGGAAGGAAGATATTTGAAAGAAAAGAAGATTCAGTGAATGCAGAGGCAAAGAAGGAAAAAAAGAATGTAATTGCTGAAAGAAAAGATGGAGAAATAAAGTTGTAATATTAGAAAAAAGACGTAGTCAGGGGTAGATCAGAATGGAGGGCAGTTGGAAAAGGAGCAATTGTATATGGGATTAGTAGCCAAGAAGAAGAAGAAGAAGAAACTCCCTGAATAGCCACAGGAAAAAAAGAGGGAAATTATGGGAAGGAAGAAAAGGGGTAAAATGTTGAACCGGTTTCCAGTAGGTGGAAAAAATAGCGTGCATAGGAAGATCTTCAAAAAAAAAAAATGACGACAAATTTATTGCTTATAAAAGATATGAAAACAGGGTATAAGTACAAGCCCTCACTATATAATTGCGTTCTGAATTTCAGAGATAAAGTGCTTTTATTATTCCGTATGGTCTTAGCTGTGGCAGGACATTTAGCCGACGGTCATTTGGCCGAGAGACATTTGGCCGAACTGACATTTGGCCGAACGGACATTTCACCAAGTACAAATAGTTAACAAGCAATACTTTAAGGATTTTAATTAGTAGTATTATTATAAGACAGAATAGGACTCAAAATTACCATTGAATTTCAAGTGATTAAACTACTAAATCTAAATTTAAAGTTAAAAGTTTTCTTATTTCAATATTTGTTTATCGAAATTAGTATTTTAAAAAATATTTGAATGTATTTGGGTAAAAAGCAGCACCTAATTATTTAAATTCGTAAAATAAAAGTTAGTTCATCCCTTTAAGATAATGATCATTAAAAGTAAAATTGAAAGATCTTTCAAATCGTAAAAGCTTAAGATTTTTGTTGTAGTAAAATGTGCTTTTTCTCAAAATACTTATCAACTTACAGTAATATTTGGCGTAAAATATAATATATGCAGAATTGATTTTACAAAACCTATAAAAAAACTAAAAATTATAAATTAATACAGTAAATGAATATAAATATATGTAGCACATTACAATAAAAAGTGTGACATATATGTAAATACGCCACTACATTTTCGGCTAAATGTCCATTCGGTTAAATGTCCGTTCGGCAAAATGTCCATTCGGCAAAATTTTCGTTCAGCGAAATGTCCGTCGGCCAAATGTCCGTTAGGCCAAATATCCGTCTGCCAAATATCCATCGGCCAAATTTTCTTTCGGCCAAATGTCTCACGCTTAAATGTCCGTCGGCCAAATGTCCCTTCGGCGAAATGTCTGTTCGGTAAAATGTCCGTTCGGCAAAATGTCCGTTCAGCGAAATGTTCGACGGCGAAATGTCCGTTCGGCGAAATGTCCGTTCGGCGAAATGTCCGTTCGGCAAAATGTCCGTTCAGCGAAATGTCCGTTCGGCGAAATGTCCGTTCGGCAAAATGTCCGTTCAGCGAAATATCCGTTCAGCAAAATGTCCGTTCGGCAAAATGTCCGTTCAGCGAAATATCCGTTCGGCAAAATGTCCGTTCGGCAAAATGTCCGTTCAGCGAAATGTCCGTTTGGCGAAATGTCCGTTCGGCGAAATATCCGGCGGCCAAATATCCTAGTCCCAATTTTAGTCATTTTTTTTAATATAACATATCAGCCAATATATATTTCGCCTTTTCAAATTTTAGGAAAAGTTCTGAGAAGAATATTGTTTTCATTTTTATAATAATTAGCATAAAATCTCAACCGAAACATTACCATCAAAACATTTCTGCCACCCTCTGAAAGTCTTTCTGATTCTGGTGTCCTCTATGAGTTGATCGATGAAGATTTGTGCTGGTCAACCTTTTGATCTTTTCCAATAATTTGAATAACATAGTTTAAAGTTGGTACACAACTTCTTCATTATTTCTCCAATAATTTTCACTAAAACACAATCACCTGTCACAGATTGTGCCCGTAATTCTTGGTAGGGTGTTATATAACTAGCAGCATGGTCCGGCGTTGCCCGTGCTTGATTCAAAAATCGTACGACAGCAATCACTATCACTTAACTTAAAATATTTTTGCCCTTCCTTGCCTTTAAAGGAGTGCCCTTTGCCGTGCTGATGTTGCTACATGCCTTACTTCTTGTCTATCTCACACAAGCTCTATACTAAACATTAAATCTGTTACGAAAAAAGAACTAAACAAAATGAACACAAAACGATCAGCTTTAAAAAAGGACTCGTAACTGGAAAAAACCGAATGAAAAAAGAATGTTCACAACAAATACTTTTTCACACCCAACCCAGTTCTGCGGAATCAAAATCAACGTTGAGTTTAAGCAAGCGAATGAGCCAATTGGAGTAAAGTGCCGTGCAGATTTAAATTTTTTCCACTTGTGACGAATGCAGCTATCGATTCTTTTGCATGCTAGTTAATATTCGTGTCAGTCAATTGTTGGCTCTCACGGTGGCCAATAGAATCTTCCTGCCTATTCGTAGCAGCCAGCTATTGGCTCTCACTCTGGCCAGTAGAAAATGGCCGCAAACTACACGAAAAGTGCCGTAGAAGCATGAAACAATCGATTATTTCCACTATCGATGGGAGTTGGGAAATACAAATTGGGTCTTGGCCTTAAATTTTGGTGCCCCGTCGAAAATTGCTAACTTGGAGCATGGGCCTGCCTTTTATAGATAAATTTTGGAGACAAATGCGTCGAAAATTGCGACCGTTCTACATTCATTAATTGGAGTAAAGTGCCCTGCTACACACACACACACACACACACACACACACACACACACACACACACAGACAAACACACCATCCCGCCTTTTATAGATAGAGATTCTTTGTTGGTTCCAGTTGACATCGAGTGTTGCTCACAATTGTACAGTATACATACCATCTTTCTGTTTTGTTGTTAATGTCCAAAACTGTTTGACCCGTTAAGGGGACTTTTCCTAATGTTGACATAAAGAGTTGTATATATGTTGTATACACCCCTTTGCGCTGGTGGGGGGGTAGTTTTGGGCGACAGTCTTGATGTCATCATAATAAAGTTGTCTTCATCTCGTTCTTCTCTCAGCCGGGTGATCGCTAGTTGTTCTTTTAGTTCGGAAGTAAAATGAGTTATTCAACAAAAGTCAAACTTATCTATTTTATTAAACACTTCGACGTGTACATTTTTAACTAGCCAGGTAGGGTCGCTCTATCACTCCCACTGGGGAATAAGTTATCCGAGACACAAAATGACTACGTCTGCTCTCTTCGACGCGTAAAACTTAACTCCCCGAAAATTCTTTCTAATTCTAACATTCCCACGTTCGTCTCAGCCAATCAAAATCCACATCCATATTTTGTCTACCAGCTGACCCTAAGGTCAGCTTCAGAAGGTATGGGCCAAATACACTGCCACTAAAAAATAATAACCAGAAACTATTATTTAGCACTATTCCATTATGATTCTAAGTGTAACGTAAATTAGGAGTAAGGTCCCATATAATCGGAGAACGAAAGAGCGGACCAAATTTGGAATTAAACTTTCTAGCGTTGCTCAAAGTCTTACGGTCGCATCATATTGGACCACATCATCACCGAAGTTAAGCAACACCGGGCCTAGTCAATAACCAATAACTTACCAAGTTTTTTTTTACATTTGAGGCGTATATTAAAATTTTTTTTCTAATGAAGTTATTGAGATTATTGGAACGAAAGACTATTTCTAAATATGAGACCAAGAAATGTTAAAAAAAAATCATTTGTATTTCAGATTAAGATATTTTCCTTAGGATTTTCATAATCCCTCTATAGCTTTACGGTCACATCACTTTGAAACTTAGGTTCCCGTAGGATCACCGAAGTTAAGCAACGTCGACCCTAGTCAGTACCTAAATAGCTGACAGTTTGCGAATACCAGGTTCTTTAACCTTGGATGTGCGGGTAGTTTAATCGATAACAGCTCAGAATTTTTAATCGGAGAGCCGAGTTCCAATTCGCGTTGGGTTCGTTATATTCTCTAGAAAAGGTATGAATCCACCTACAGGTATTCTCCCCAGCTATGGGTTAATTAGTAAGATTTGTATCGCTAAACCATTATTATATACCCCCCACCCCAAAAAAATAAATTCTTACAACCTAAAAATATTTTCTGGCTTTAAATAACCTGAAAAAGATTGATAAGCCGTCAATCGATCAAAGTGCCAATCGATCAAAGTTCCAAACTCTTTGACGGGGTGGTGGATAATATTCCTAGGTTATCTGAGAATTAAAGATACGTTTGTTACGCTATTTTTTTTTTTTTTTTTTACTGTTTTCGGATCTTTTATATTTTTCCCTCTTTTACGGATGATGACTCATGGCCAGAATAGATTGATATGTTCATATTTCTATTCTTCCAATAAGCTTTTTGAAAAAACAAAGTATTAACGTGATAATTTATATTATTAAATTACCTCTTCGTATATGCTTGTATTAGAGTCGAGTCTAAGTTGAAAACAGTTGCACTGTCTAACCGAGAAACATATATAATAATTTTAAGTGTCAGTAATGTAATCGACCCTGACCTGGCTTCTCTAGTCCTTGGTATGACGATAAACTACATCCGGCAGCAAGGCCTCATATTGAAATTTTGAGGAGTGTGTAACCACTTCCTTATTACTGTTGTCTCCAGATCCACCATAACCCGGGGTAGTAGCACCTGTTAGGGTCCCAGCTATAGGCAAATAGTGAACCTCCAAACAAAAACAAAACTATGAAGGTATAAAAAATACATTTTTTTGTAGTAAAAATACCAGTAATAAATTTTAATATAAAAAATTATCAACAATACATTTTATCCCAGATATAATAGAATTAACAATAATTCATTTTATAGCAAGATGACCAACAACATATTTTATCTGTAGTTGAAGACATACATTTGTATTCAAAATATATTTAGTTGGAGCCATAAAACTCTCTACAAAATGTTTAGATAATGGTATTAACTAACCCATAGTGGTGTTGATATGCCATTAAACAAAATCCACCAAATCAAACCTGACTTCTCGGCTTAAGAAACTTTCTCACCGCCGTGACGTGATTTCTCTCTGTCTTTTCAACAAATATTTTCATGGCAATTTCTCTTATTCACTTCCCTCCTTGGTGTCTCAACTGAATGAATTTAAGCGTGCTACTTGGTTGGCAATTCGGTCTCATCGGTCTATCTAGATACTACCGTAGTTTCTTTTTTCGCACTTCTCGCTTGTGGAATCCCTTCCGATTTCTTGCTTCCCTGCCACTTAAAATCTTCCAAAATTTAAATGCAACATCAATCGCCATCTTCTCTACTCCTGACACCTGTTCTTTTATTGTTCTTTCTCATCATTAAA